AACAACTTCGTAATAGCTCCTGTGGTCCTGACAACATTCATAACAGATGTTTAAAGAACTACACGGAATTATTCATTCAACATTTAACTAAATTATATAACTCTATTTTAAATCTTGGATATATACCAACTGGATGGAAAAAGGCTAATATTATACTGTTATTAAAGCCTAATAAAGATAAGCAACATCCTTCAAGTTATCGTCCGATTAGTCTTCTTAGTTGCCTCGGCAAACTACTGGAGAAAATAATGAAGCAACGACTGATGGTTATTCTGGAACAACGTAACATCCTGCCAGAACATCAAGCTGGCTTCCGACCTCGAAAAAGCACCTTAAACAACATTATAAGGTTAACAAAATATGCACAACAACATATGCATTCATCTGGTCGTCGTCGACATGCAGCAGTTATATTATTCGATATCAAAGCTGCCTTCGATTCTGTCTGGCATGATGGATTAATATATAAATTAAATGAACTACGTCTGCCACAATACTTAACAAATTATCTCATCTCTTTTCTACAGAATAGAACTGCGGCTATTGAAATTGAAAACATTCTATCAAGACCATTTAACCTCAACAGCGGCACTCCACAAGGGTCTCCGTTATCTCCATTACTCTATATTATATACACGGCAGATTCGATGAATGGAATACCAGAACATACAGAACATGGTCTATTTGCCGATGATACTGCTCTATGGACATCATCAAACACAATAACAAGCCTTAGTTCTAGGCTACAACAATCCATAGATGAATTTCAAAGTTGGTGCAATTCATGGAAACTTAAACTACAGCCCAGTAAAACTGAACTCGTTCACTTTACTGTACATCCTCGTAAACAGTTTAAAAATCCAATATCGGTAAAAATAGATGATACAACTGTCAAAGCATCCAACTCAACAAGATATTTAGGTGTTATCATCGATAAAACGTTGAATTGGAGAAGTCATCTACATCACATCGAATCGAAGATTGCTGGTCGTATTAGTCTGTTACGGTTTTTAAATAGAGCAGCTTACGAACCTAATGACAAAATTATGTTAAACATCTTCAAATCAATTGCAAGATCGATTATCATCTATGGTTATCCAATATTACTTACTGCCAATGATAAAATATGGGAAAGACTACAAATAATGCAAAACAAAGCCATTCGTGCTGCATTAGGATTACCCATATATACATCCGTCGAATATATCCATCGAATTACCAATATCCCCAAAATTAAAGAATATGCCGTTACTCTCCTGCAACGTTATATTCAAACAGCAACATCAAATAACGACCAACTACTGACCAACAACCTGCAAGATATATTCAACAAACTTCAATAAGAAATCACCTACCCATGTTATATATTACATATAGCATCGTCATTATCGACCATTGTTGAGTCGACCGAATCCATACAAAAATTGTTATATCGGAATCATCGACTTTAACTTTGCATCATACATATATATATATATACTATTATAACAACTTCCATCGTATAACCTCTTTTCACGAGACATAAGACATTCGTCATGCGTCTCGGCGTTTCTCTCCAGCCTTTTGTATATTTGTATATATTGTTGCTTCTTTTTTGTTAACATCTTAATAAAAAGGCTTTGACTCCAAAAAAAAAACCTCTACGATTTATTTGAACCTATATTTATAATGTTCAGTTTGTGTGTATCTGTGTGTCTGTATATCTGTGCCGGGTCAAAGGTCATAAAAAGCCATAAGAGGAAGGTGCCAAAAGCTATTATATGCAGGTACCTATAGGTCCTCAAGGGGTATTATATGGAGGTAGTCATAGGTCCTAAAGGGCTATGCTATGGAGGTACCCAGGGGCCTTCAAACGCTATTATATTTGGTATCCATAGATCCTCAAGGGCTATCCTATGCAGATACCATAGGTCTTCAAGGGCTGTTATATAGAAGTGCACATAGGTCCTCAAGGACTATTATATGGAGGTATCCATAGTTCATCCAGAGCTATTCTATGAAGGTACCCATCGTCCCTTAAGGACTATTATATGGGGGGCATTCATAGGCTCAGAAGGGCTATTATATGAAAGGCACCCATGGTTCCTCAAGAGCCATCCTATAGGGTACCCATGCGCTCTGAAAGGTGTAAGACAAGAAAGGAATAAGGCTACAAAAGGTACGAGGGACATAAGGCTAAATGGCCTATAAAAATATGTACGATAGAAGAGTATGAGGTCATAGGACGTCCATCTATTTGCATAATATCGCGTATCTGTATGTCTGTTATCCGATGAAAAGTTACTCATCTGAAATCATACGTTAAACGAGAAATCAGCAGCGCAGTAGGCACGGGTTTTCTCTGTTTTTATTATTATTATTATACGATTCCTGGATGCTTCATATCATGAGCAACGATAGAAATATCTTGTATACCGTTCACGAAGAATTCTATGACGTAATTAATTATGATCTACTTTTATGAATGTGCATATATCCCTATCTAAATACTCTATTTGATAACATGTACACTTTGTATAATAAAATTTGCCACTCTCTCAGTCGAGTTGATCATAATAAAAACATGTATTTTTTCCCTTGATTATCTTTTCTGTATGTCGTACCTTATAAAATGTAAGCATCAGTATTCAAAATTGTTTGAGAATTTCATGAGTGATAGACTTCATATAACAAGGATTAAACAGAAATATTGTTTTTACTGACTCTTTTGGATATTAAAGGCTTGCTGAACCAGAGTGAAGTACATTTCCTTCACCTGATATTGATTTTCTAAAAGTTGTCCACTAATCATATGTAATAATATTCTTGATTGATCTTTTCACTAGTGAGAATGTTTCAGTACTTATGTTCTATTCGAAATAACAATTAGAGAATAAGAAAACGTAAGTAAGGCTTAATAAAGAAAGAATCCAGTTTTCTGTTTATGTTTGATCGATGAGTCTAATTTCAATAGTTGAAGGTAATATGTCTAAAAGATCTGGTTGGCAAAAAATTAGCATGAAAGCTGTCATAATGAGTCTAACGTACTCTAAATGTGATATGTAATTTCATCATTTATTCTTCTCTAAAGAAAAATATATATATAGTTTACAAATGAGATGAAGCATTAGCTCAAAAATATAAAAATCAACATAATTTTCAAATACCTATAGAAAATAATTATGAGTTAGAGAATAGTTTTATAGATACAACACAAAATACCTATGGAGAAGTATCTTTTATTTTCACACGCTGCAGACAATCACAAGATAATCGCTGCAGTTTATCTTGTAAATACCAAGTCGCAGCTGCTTTATATAAAAACAGTTTTTTCTCGTGAACATTTATAGGAAAATATTTGTCAGCATTATCCTTCGAGATTCATTTCTTCAATCTGATTCTTGAAATGAAATAAAAACAAGAATGAGAATAATAAAACAGGGACTATTTCTGTCAATTTGGTTAATATTATTCAACACCTCTCATTATTGTTTGTTGGAGTTAAGCTTTTGCGGAGATCTCTTTTTCTAAAAACATTTCTTTGTCCTTTTATGACTCAAACCACTTTTAGTGTCAAATACAAACAGTCTGAGTATCCAACACTATTTCTTTTCTATAATTTCTAACAAATTCATGAAAAACTAATCCATTTTTCATAGAAAGAACTTGATCCTTGATTATCATTTGTTACATGGTTAATTAAAATAGAACAGTTTATTTGAACACATGTAGTATTTTAGAATTGCACAGAGTAAATATAACATAACAGTAATATATTGAGATGCTGACAGCTTATTTAAGTAATGAAATGAATATTGATAGAAGACTCAGAGTGTTCTATGATCGATTTGCGTTTTGAAAAAATTCTTTCTGCACTTATTTCCATATTTATATAAACATGTATTTTTCATTCGAATTAATATTTTTCTATGTAATATGCAAAAAAAAACACATTTATTTGAAATCAACCATTAGTTCAAATTTTATATTTGAAACTTTAATGGTTGTTCAATACTAACATCAAGTAGGAGTATAGACTCATGTTAATAATGATATAAATAAAAAAAACGGTATGTTTTTCATCTTCTTTTCAGTTTTCAACTGTGTTTTGGTTCACTTCATTTCATTTTGTTCACTTTTCATATAATATTGTTGAATTATTAGTCATTTTCTGTCGACTATCTTCAAAAAAAACACATAACTAATATTGAGAATATGATTTATTTGAATGAAAGAAAACATTTTTTATTTTGATAATCATATTGATCATATAGATAAGGATGCTATAGTTAATACTATGATTTATTTATTCTAATTGTTCTATTAACAATTAAATTACTATTTAATTTTATAAATTGCGAAATGCTATGCATAGAATATATGTTCATAAAAATCCATGTTTACTTCAGTGTGCTTGTACTTATATTGATGTAATTAATAAACATGGTAATAATAATATTATTTTTCAATTTATGGAACTGAATACTAGCATAATTGTTAATAGAACAATTAGAATAAATAAATCATAGTATTAACTATAGCATCCTTATCTATATGATCAATATGATTATCAAAATAAAAAATTTTTTCTTTCATTCAAATAAATCATATTCTCAATATTATTTATGCATTTTTTTTTGAAGATAGTCGACAGAGAATGACTAATAATTCAACAATTTTATATGAAAAGGGAAAAAAATGAAACGAAGTGAACCAAAACACAGTTGAAAACTGAAAAGAAGATGAAAAACATACCGTTTTTTTATTTATATCCTTATTAACATGAATCTATACTCCTACTTAATGTGAGTATTGAACAATCATTAAAGTTTCAAATATAAAAATTGAATTAATGGTTGATTTCAAATAAATGTGTTTTTTTGCAGATTGCATAGATAAAAATTAATTTATATGCAGTTTATCCAACATGATCATTTTATAGCAAATACAAATATATTACTCTAAAGAATGCTTATCTTATACGTTTTTTTTACGAAGAAAACTCTTTAAAATCCAAGTGTCTAATATATACCTGAGTAAGATGTAAGTTGTAAATTTTCAAAGGTAGGTGTTGAATTACCGTTGTCTTCCAATAAATCATTATCATATACGACATCATCTAATTCTTCATCTTCATCGGCTTCGTCCTCGCTGGATTCATCAACAATGAGTCTTTCTGATTCAGATAAGCTATTTGATTTTAACAACTGCTTGATTAACTGTGATGATTCTGCTATGTTAAAAAGATTATTCTTAATTAAGTCACGACTCATTCCTACAGAAAATGTCATTTCTTGCGCCACTTGATGTGGCTGAAGAATAATATTTTCAAGAGTATCTATATCAAAACTAACATTATTATTATTATTCTTTGAACCTAGTTGAAAAATAAGTGATTTAACTATGTGGTGAATGGGAAAAATTATTTTCTCCTCATTATTTGAGACTTCAAATTGTTTTAATTCTGTAAGAACATTGAGTTCATTGACACGTTTGAGGGATTGCTTCATGGCAAAATTTATACATGTGGAATAAACTCCAGATAAAGATCTTGCATTTCTGAAAGTATTTTACATTATAATCATAGCGTGCTTCTCTTTTGGATAGTAACGTGATCTTCATTCATTACAATCTTAACATGTCAGAATTGATACTAACGCTGTTGAAAATTATTCTTAAACCTTTACCAATAGACTTTCAAGAGCCAAAACATTTGACAACACGAAAATTTTAACTTTCCTGTTGTATCATCCTATAATATTAGATATGAATAAATATTGCTATTCGCAGTTTCATTGTAACTACCAACAGCATGCTTTTATTTTCTGCAAAGAAAACTTAATTATGAACTTGTCTTTTGCCTTGATGATATCCAATACAAATTATACACGTATATTCACTTTAATACAAGCTTTTAGTCAACTAATTTTTTTCTATATGCGTCCTCTTCAACTATTTAAACTAAACTGATTGATCAGTAATATACGATAAACTGAATTATTTTTTACATCAACCTAATTCAGCAAAACTATTTCCCGATGAGTACTATACTTAACTAACTCTATGGACCCACAACCATGTACACGAACGTTTATTGTTTGAAACAAAATAAAAGAATTTTTTAAGATGCTTGTAGGATAGATCAAGTGTCAGCATTATTAGCTGTGCTACGATAAAGACAATAAGGCCATCCAACTTATAATGATGTTTTCTTGTCATAAATCTAATTAAATGCATGATACACAACATTGTATCTCCCATCTTTGAACAATAGCATTAATAGGCGAAAATTCAAAGGGGAAAAAGCGAGACTTCCTAATTCTGCAGTACGAGTGAAGTACAATGAAGTACGAGTAAAGTACAAGGGCAGTAGATTAAGGTACAAGTGAAGCACGAAGTCTCGCTTTTTTCTCCCTTACGAAAATATCATACTGCTGTAAAACAAAATTTACATACCACCATACATTAATTGTCTTCACTGTACTTCACTCAAGGGGGAAAAAGCGCGACTCCACCGTACTCCAATGGTACTCCATACGTACTTACTGGTACTCCACGGTACTCCACTGGTATTCGAGTGACACTCCAGTGGTACTCTATCGAACCACACTGAAATTTCACTGGAACTCTAAATCTTTTTTGCTATGTACTCCGCTGGTACTCCAACAATTTTTTTGGAGTACCATTGGAGTATCGTGGAGTACCATTGGAGTACCGTGGAGTACCATTGGAGTACCGTGGAGTACCATTGGAGTACCATTGGAGTACCATTGGAGTACGTACTCCTGGAGTCGCGCTTTTTCCCCCTTGACTTCACTCGTACTTCACTGATACTTCACGGTACTTCACTGGTACTTCACTGGTACTTCACGGTACTTCACTGGTACTTCACTGGTACTTTACTGGTACTTCACGGTACTTCAATGGTACTTCACTCGTACTTCACTCGTACTTCACGGTACTTCACGGTACTTCAAATTTTTTTTGAAGTAGATGAAGTCTTGCTTTTTCCCCCTTGATCATTACCGTATCAAAGGTGAACATCTATTGATGACTGATCAACCAAAAGCAATAAACACTTCATTGTCCGTTTCTTTGTCATTCATTTGTCGATAAGTTTTCCTGTGCATTAGTATGGGTTTGGTATATGTAACCTGTTGGAAAGTAACCAACATCTAAAACAGTAAAATGCTGTAAGTTGCTGTTACACTCCCAAGTATGAGGAATTTCCGATATATTGTCTTTGTTAAATACTAGTATATCCCCTACATTTAAGTTGTAATCTTTTAGATCATAATACAGATCTTTCAATATTCCATATACAGTGTTATCAATAATTTGTATAATATCAAAATACCATGCACCACCACCACAGTCAGTTTGATTACCATTGATTGGTATCTTTTCAAAACAACATCTCACCATATTACCCACTTGTAATGAAGAAAGAATAGCATCACCATCTTCAAATAAGGCTCCTGACCATGACATTGGTTTTGGAATTTTCGTAAATTTGTATGTGTAGTTTTGAAAATCATTCATATTATTCATATCTAATGGTAAATAATGGATATTTTCTAAACTTATGTGAATTATATCACCAAATTTCACATATCTACTATCTGTATTATGATTAGTATAACCATACGATGAATAACATTTCGAAATACAATCATCAAATTGATCAAATTGGGGATAATATGGATTTGTCTCATATTTCATACATTTTCGTGCACTCAGTATACCAATAATTGTTCGATAAATATTATTCAATGGAATATAATGATTGATATATTTATTGTATAAATCTTGACATAGAACATCTCGATTTAATAAATTCTTCAATACCTTTAAATCATGTTCTGTCGGAGTTTTATTAATTCGATTTAATAGTAATTGATCAATCCAATTTATGTCATCATCTTCATACTTATTGTCTTCATCAAAATACTTTGTTTGTGTAAAAGAAGATATTAAATCGCAATCCATTGTTATATTGTCATTAATTACGTTTGTTATATATTTCGAATGTACAATATATGGTGTACTTTTTGTATCATGAAGAAAAAATAGAACATTCGAGTCAGTATTCAATATAGGATTATTAAAAACTGTAACTGTTGCTTTTCAACCACGATAAATATTAGTGATTTTCACAAATATTTCTTCTTTTCTTCTTGCAAAAACATGTTGTGTATGTTTGCTAATAATATTTTTATCGGCTACTTGAATTTGTTCTTTGTTTTTATCTGATAATGTGATTGTAACAATTTTTTCAATAAGATCTTTTTTATTGGGAAATAGAGATAATGATAAACATTGACCGTCTAAATTAATTGGATGTTGATATCGATCGAGCTGATACATTCAAAGGTGAAGGTTTGCAAATATTTTACAAACTCTAAATATTTGTGAACAATATTAAATATGCGTCAGCCATCGGAAATTGAATGCGTCCTATTCTATGATAACTATTTTCTGCTCTATCTATTGCCAAACAACAATACTCAAATTTGGTCAATTTTTGAAAATATTTGAAGAACTTCTTAATATTCTTCTGATAGAAATAAAATGCGAAATATAATTGAGTCGATATTTTTGTGGTAACAATGTCTTCCTATGAGTGTTCTTCTTCTAGGTCAAACTCTAAAGATTCCCTTTATCTTCTATTTTCTTCAAAACTCGTCATCAATCGTACTCTAAAGAAATATACATTTCTAATACTCTGTCAAACGGACTGTTTTCTGTACAACTGTAAAATAGTTCTGAAATGAAGTATAACAAAGGGACTATGATCACAATTAATTGGAAGTTTAATTATCTCTATTGAACTTATCTCTTTCCATGAAGAAACTCTTGATAATTGTCTACAATTTTTTTACTAATTAAAATCAATTTTAACCATACTCAAGTAGTACTGAAAATTTAAAATACATCGTTCTTGATGAATTCTATAAAATTTTATATGATTTTAGTATCTTTGGTACTCGAACGTTTGATATTATAACCTTTGGATAAGTATGCACTTGTTCTACGTTGCTCTAAGACTTCTGTACTATTAAGAAGTGTTTTGTAAATATCTTTCGATATAGATATAAATCATACGATATATGTAAGCACTTTTTCTAAGATATTAACGATCAAAAAATCTCTTCTGTATACATACGGCTGTTAGTGCAAGAATTGAGCGTTTGCGAATAAATGATAATTCGAAAAAAGCCGGTTTCCTAATAGAAATTCAATGAATACAACTAAAATATTACATCGCTTTATATTTTATGTTGTTTTTTTTCTTTTCTAATACTTTCGTCATGTTGTCATGGTATTACGTAACTCATGAGTAATAACGTAGATGAGAAAACGATCTTATTCAAAGAATAAGTAAGCCAGTATAATGTGTGGCAAATATATGAAGTAATCTAAGAACTATTGGCCAATCGTTTTTCTACTCACATTTTTTTCATCTCTTGTAACAAACCATTAGGAAACAGAAAAAGAAAGGCGGCATCAAACGAAACAATTCAATGCATTTCACTAACTTTATTACGATGACAACACTAAACTGTATGCCTCTTATTCGAGGAACTCAGTGAAGTAAATCAGCGTTCTCTTTACAGTTGCACATGTCAATAGTATCGAGTAATTGTGCTTGTAGCGTAGACATAAGTTTTTCTCTATCAGGAATATTTTCTTCTATCCATTTCATTTTTTTTCTTTTTGTCCTTCTCAACGAATGTGCATTAGATTTCGTGCATAAATGAAAATGAGTGTAATCGGTTGTGCTTATTTTTACTGATTTCCGAAATGTTTTTCTCCACACTTCACATTCACAACCACACCCACAACCTAAAACAATGAACTCGACGCGCTAAGAGTTATTTATAAAATAGAAGTCAACGCATAACAAACTTTCACATATCAAGCACTAAGAATACGCATTTATTGATCCAACGCAACCCCAAAAATATATACTTCATTTCAATGTATTATTTATGTTAAAATTTGTTTTTTATGCTTATTTATCGAAGTGCTGATTTACTTTTCTTTGAAATTTTTGTCATTGTTTTTTTTATTTGAATTTCCGGGAAATCAGAACTCATGTCGTCATGAAAGAAATTGCATTAGTTTTTCTCAATAGGACTGGCATGAATCATTAGTTCTTTTTAAAAAATGAGCATTCGCCACCAATTCTTTTCAAAAATCGGGGTATTTGAGAAGAGAAGGACCTAGTCATTAGTTCTTATAAAAAAACTGCTTTGCATACCCAGCTCTTGGAAAAGAGCCTGTTCTCAGAACTGTAAGGTCTCATATGTCTCATAGCATTCTATCTTATTCAGCTTTACATTCAGAAAAAAGTAGAACTCATCATAAAGTATAGTTCAGGTAGATGTAAATTACTAATAGTTGATATCAATGATCAAATAGCTATAATTGTAGTAGAAAAGCTATTTCAAATTCTAAGAGCCTACTTCACCATCTCAACACTAATGCTGCTTTCTTCTATCCACAATGAATAATGCATCTTTTCTCTACTTTTATTTCAGAAAAATGCTTCCCAAATCAATTTCATCAGCATCTAGAATATTTGTTGATCGACGTTTTCATGGGTTTTACATGGTGGGCGTATTTGTATTAGTCAGTGCGTTTCTGAAAGATATTAATGCTGATCTCACGACCGATGCAAAAAAAGGTTTGTCAACTTTTTCTGTGAACTAAACAGTAGACCCATTTGTTTTTTAAGCCATTATTACAAGAAGTTGAAAACTACTGTGAGAGGATACTATCGATGGGAAGTGGAGTTTTTCAGTAACAGAAACATACTATAATAAAGAAAATCCTATCAAAAAAGTATATGTAATATATTCGATGTACTGTAAAAAAATAGCTACTTTTCTGAACCTTCCTAAAAGGTTTTGTAGGTACTCAAAAGCTTCCAAATGTGTCCAAACGCTTAACAAAGGATTCTTAAAATCTACGAAACCTTTAAAGGATCTGACCTCGAATACACGGATCGAACCATCTCCTACGAAATCTTTTTCACTTTACGGAACTTAAAAAGTTTCGTAGCAGATGGTTCGAATGGTGTACCCTCCCACAGGTCCTTTTAAGGTTTCATAGATCTTATAGTCATTTTATTAAGCCTTTGAACGCATTTAAAAGCTTTTAGACACCTACAAAAGCTTTTTGGAGGGCTCAAGATGGTGCTTATATTTTTCTAGATTGATTGGTGTTTGGTACATATATAACAACAAAGAAATATGCTTTCTTTTAGATGACTCATACAATAAGCATGTGCTTTTATGCACAATGTGTAGTAAAGTTGTGCAATACGACAGAAAAAAAAAACAAGAAAAATAAGAGAAAAAAAGTAACGCTAAAGATAAAGTAAAATACATATATTTTCGTAAGAAATTTAATCGTAATATTGTCGAACAGTCACATTCATTGCTACACATGGCCTTTACTGACAGCAAAACCTGTGCTTTCGAATCAGATAATGCATTGAAAGAAGAACAACTGTTCAATGCTATTGAATTAAATAATGTCACTGTCGTGCGGAGTTTTACGAAAAATGAACTCCAACGTTTATGTAATGTACGTCGTCTTTTTCCGTCTGAATGGTCGTCACCGGACCACGAAAAACAAACAGCTTATCAACGTGCATGTCTTCTTGGTCATGCAGATATTGTGCAATGTATTCTCGATGCTGGTATTCCACCTGATCAAAAATTTTCCGGTGGTGATTCACGTAATACTATGCGAGGAGCATTTCTATTTGCTTGTCAAGCACGCTCAATGACAACAATTACAGTTTTACTTAATGCTGGCGCACCAGTTGATGAACTAGGTTCATGTTCTCTTAATTATGCTAATTCTTTTGTTCCTGGTATTCGTGTGTTTGGTTCATTTGAACGTGACTCAGTCTCTTGGGAAAATCTCTATCCAATTCATTTTGCTATTGTCGATAATAATCTCGAACTGTTACAAAAATTGATTACATCAACAACAAACAAATTATTAACAATCCACTACTTTACTCCTTTACATATAGCATGTCTTTTTAATCGATCTATAACAATGATCGATCTATTACTCTCCTACGAAAATGCTAATCTTGCAACAATAGCTAAAACAAGCAATGGAAAATTTCCTGATGAGCTTGCTACTGATCAAACAATAACCGATTATCTTCGACCTACACGTCTGCGCGCTTATATGGAAATAGAAGAAAACAGTCAGAAAAATCAACAACATGACTTAAAGAAACTTGAAGAAGGTACAGCTTTCCAAGTTTTCATCAAAACTCTTACGGGTAAAACGATTATAATTATTGTCACAAGAGAAGATACTGGCGAAAATATCACAGCAAAAATTCATGAAAAGACAGGTATTCCACCTAATCAACAACGAATTATCTACGGGGGCAAAAAATTACGAGATGATCTCACACTTGCCGACTATGATATTGGAAAGGACGCTACTCTCCATCTAGTCATTAATCTGCCTGGTGGCTACTATTAGTATAACGGCGTCTTTTGTTTTTAGAAACTTACGTAGAATCAATCAAATATTTGATTGCTACAAGAAAAGTAAACAATACCTTTTTTTTTTTCATAATTTATTTTATAATCAAGATGTTTAGTTTATGAAATTTGACGTAAATGGTTAAGAATTCCAAAAAGATTTTTTTCTAAGAAAAGTTTTTTTATTCTTGCAACGATATTTTTCATTCGTGATGTATGTCACGTAGTCTGCTCTATAACACGTATAACGTATAGTCACTCAAAAAATTATACTACAGCTGTATAACATTGATCTTCCTAATAAATAAATCAAGACACCTAAAAAGTAACTACAATAATTGTCTTTTCTAGATTAATTGTTCAAAGCGATGAATAAGAAAGTAATACAAATCGAAGATCTACCTGATGAACTATTTATGTACATTTTCTCGTTTATTCGACCAAAAGATCTTCTTCAAGGATGGT